GATAGAAGACAAGCAACACTGATGGCCACAACCAACAGGAAACCCAAGGCTCCCTCTCTGATCCCATAGCCTTGGGAAGGCAGGAACTCTGTCGTTGGCTTGCTGGCAAAGAGACCCCGAGTTCCAACTCCACCCCTGAGTGCACAGACGCCGATTCGCTGTCCAGTGCTTACTGGGGACCCTAGCAAACGCTGAGCCAAGTTCTCCCTTTTCCTCCATTCTCCTGCCTCCTCTTAGCACTGGGCACAGCCAGCAGAGTCCAAAGAGCCTGTGTCTCTGCTGCTTACTCTGGGGAGGGCCCTGCAAAGGATCAGAAGGACGCTCCCAGTATGGCTCAGCCTCCCCCCAGGTGAGCTGGGCAGGCAATTCCAGAATCCTCAAGACAACCTCAGGGGCCTCATCCACAGGGTGCCCAGAGGAAGATTAAATGCCGGCCTCAGCTCCTCACAGCCTAGGATACTGGAGGGCCCAGCCGGCTTTCTAGAGCTGAGCCAGGCCAGAAGTCAGAATCAACTTCCCACTCACCTTTCCAAGCTCCCCTCCTCCCAACATCATCCAAACAGGCTCCTGGTTTGTCCACTTCATTGCCTACGCCAGCACTTATGGTCAGGGTGGTCACTATACAAACAAGCCAAACCTTGGCTTCTTAGCCAAAGATGGCCCTGGCCCTGCGGGTACATCCTTCCAAAGGCCAGGCAACACCGCAGTCCATGGTCTCCTCGGCCCTCGATCGCACACAGGAGAAAGGAGAGCCTGTTTGTTCCTAGCAGCCAGGAGGAAGGCCGGGAGTCGCTAGTTATGGAAAGGAGAGCGTCTGAGGGGGAACCAGCCTCCCCGTGCAGGAGGAAGATAGCTGAATAGCTCCCCCCCGGCAGGCCCAGCTCACCTGAGGTTTAATGTTCACTGTCTCCACGGCGTTCTCTTTCAGCCACTTCGCATCCACCTCCACGTCAAAGTGGCCGATGTTACAGACAATGGCATCGTCCTTCATCTGTTCGAAGTGTCTGCAACGAGAAGGCAGGTGCTGTCGCAGAGCAGGCCTTGGCCCACTCTGCCCCACTGCCGGGGAAAGGGGGGGCAAGGGGAGTCCTGAGAAAATGGACGGTGGCAGCCTCTGGGGACTTAAGAGTGGAACCTTGAAAGAGGCCCGGCTGGGAAAGTCACCTCAGCACCCCCCGGCCGTGGCAATTTCACCTTCTGCTGTCAGTATTCACAGGCATGGGAGCAGCAAGAGGGCAGTGGGACTGCAAGCAGGGGCCTGAGGGGAGGGGCCACCAGGGTATTTGCCAGGCACAACAGGGGCAACGAGCTCTCCAAAGAGCCAAGGCAGGACCCTGAGAGACAAGAGCTGCCCTGGCCCGTCAGCATAGCACCTTCGAATGGCAACCCTGCAGCCGAAGCAGCGACGTCTCTCCTCACGCCGGGGCAAGAGGAGTTTGAGAGCGGCAAGAGTCAGACCCAGGCAGGAGGTTCCTCTCCTACTCTGCCCGTCTTGCACTTGGCAAATCCCTCCTGATACTCCAGCCCTGGACTCCCATCCCCAACCAACTCTGCCAGTGCTCCTCACCCCAAGCCCCCCCATTCCAGCCAAGTGTTCCCTATGGCTCTCCCAATGCCCTTCGCCCGGATCAGAGCACCCCCCCCCCTCCCCCCCGTTCACAACACCCAGCCCTGCAGAGCCGAATGGCCAGTGCTGCCAAGCAGAGTCTTGTCAATATCGGACATGGGGTCACTTCGCTTTCAGCCAGGGGATGGACAGTACCTGCCCTGCACGATGTCAGTGCAGCCAGTGGTGGTGACAAAGATGTTCCCTTCTTTGCAAGCCTCCTCCATGACTGTTACCTCATAACCTGAAGGTGAAAAGAAAAACCATTATCCTGCGCCCTGCCAAGAGCCTCTTCTCCCAGCCAACACCCGGTACATGAAGATACGATACAGGAACGCCCGCTCAACAGGCACTGTCCCCACCTCTCCCTCTTCCACCCCGTGGGCCGTGCAGTGCCATTATCACCACGCTGCCTCCAAGGAAGGTGAACGTGCCAGTTTTGCAGGTTTCGCGTTCGTCAGGGTACCACCCCGGCACACGCATGGAGGGGAGGTAACTGCACATGTATCAGCCTGTCTGCACAGGGCACCCACCAACTAGTGGGGACCCAGGAAGCATGGAGTTTGGTTTGCTTCCTTGTCACTACCAAGTAGGGCTTCCCAAAGAGGCTCATTGTTATGCTGCCTGGCGCAGAATGGAGGCGAATGCTGGGTATTCGGACGCGGAGATGGTCCCTTAAAGTCTAGGCCCGGGTGGAGGTTAGAGCTGTCTGGGCAGGAGCCAGTCCAACACCTGTTCAGAAACTTGGTACCACTGCCACAAAGCAGAGAGGGCCTATCCCAAACTCTGGAACTACGGTGCAGCCTAAAATTGGGGAGGAGACCCTCAAGTGTCCCAACAGAGGTACATCATTTACACCAGTAATAACTCCACTCCCTACAGCCAGAAGGGAACAGTCCATTACTGGCACCATCGCATGCAAGAGTCGCCTCCATCAGAGCGAGGACCAGGGCTGCTGACCTCCCAGTGACTCTTGGCCAGGTGTCACGACGTGCGCTACACAACAGGCTACAGAGCCCACCAACACTGCACCGAGTTCCCAATGCCCTGCCCCCATAATCCTCAGCGGCTCACCTTCCATGGCTGCCTGCAGCGCGTTGATGGGATCAATTTCTGTGATGATGACCCTGGCTCCAAAGTTTCTCAAGGCTTGAGCGCAACCTTTGCCAACATCTCCGTAGCCTGCCACGATGGCCACCTTCCCGGCGATCATGACATCCGTGGCACGTTTAATGCCATCGATAAGGGACTCGCGGCAACCGTAAAGGTTATCGAATTTACTCTGGGGAGGGAAGCAGTCATTTGAGAATAGCTGAAGCAATCACTGAGACGCTCACATGCTTCCTATTTACAGAGGACCTGGACGAACTTATCGAATGCCGCGAAGCGGACAGTCAGCTACGTGCTTTTCCCCACATCAAGGCAAGGTCGGTCTAGCTGAACATGGATTCGGCTGCATTCCTTTCAGTGGCTTCGGACTCCGGCCCAGATGGCTATCGCAGACTCTTATCAGAGGCATTTCATTCGTGCAGTTCACCTGCTGGCTAGTTCTTGGGCTTCAAAAACAGCCTCCCTGGGGCAACTGAAGGTGACGAACAGAGCAGCGCATGGGAGCCTGCCACAGACAGGGCCTGGACAGCAGCAGGTACACAGCAGGGAGCTATGGCTCGCTCAGACTCCACTTGCTACAGAAGCCCACAGACCGTTCCAAATGGCACAGCGAGTTCTAGGGAGCTGCATCTTTCCGGGAAGGGGGGGTGGTCTAGAAGCACCAAGCACTCGCATGCACAGCTCCAAGCCACTAGGGCCCAAAGCACGTCCCAGTCACTGCTCCCCGCCATCTGCGACGAGCTGGGGAAGAATTCCTCGCCCGGGGAAGGAAGACAAATACCACGGGGCTCAAGTGCCAGCCTCATCGCAGTGGATACTCATCCACAGCCCATCAGCAGAGTAACACTGTGCCAAGGCACCAGGCACTTAAAGCAAGGAGCCCTGGATTTTAGGAGAGCCCCCTCTCACACCTGCCTTACAAATCAGTGGCAGAGGCATCTTGGCCCAGCCCTTAGTTCAAAGCTCAGCTCGGCAACAGAAGACAAACAATGAAATTCCATGTTTTCATCTGCCTGAGCCTAGCACAGCGGTTCCCAACCTGTTTTACACCATGGACCGGCAAACCCGTTCACAGACTTTTGGCGGAGCAGTAACGATGCAAAGAACGAATGCAAATATATAAATAAAATATTAGCACGCCACCAAAAGGCCCAGCCCCCACAGCCATCATGAATAGCTGGTTTCAGTTCTGGCAGCTGCCACAGCTGAAGCCAACTGTTCGCGGCGGTTCTGGGGGGTGCAGCTGGGGCTGGTGGTAGGTGGCCTGGGTTTTAACCCCAGCACCTCCACTGACCTACAGTGACACCTTAGGCAGGTCCCTTCACTTCCCTGTCTGTTTTCTCTCCTGTCCTGTTGGCTTCAGGGGAGAGGAAACTTTTGTGGGTTGGGGGCCTCTGACCCACAGAAATATCAGTCGGGGGCCACCCAAAAAGCCCCTTACTGATGTGCCGCCCGCCTGAGAAGCAGGAAGACTCTCCTTGCATTCCCTTCGCACACCAGAGCCTACTAGACTGTGTGTGCTATAGCCCTATGGTGGGGTAGTAAAGGGGCTGGAGCACCAGCACAGGCTCCCCAAGGTGGGGGGCAGGGGAGATGAGCCTCGGGAGCCAGATCTGCACAAGCTGGGAGCTGCATTCAGTCCCCAGGCCTGAGGTTCCCCACCCCGGCTTAGACCAATGGTTCCCACCTAGTTACCATGGTGGCCCACACCCACAATGTCTATACTACCTGTGTGGCCTGAGGCTGTCGCATGGGCTGCAGCTTTGTGGCAGAGACCCACTGGCTTAGACTGGAAGAGACTATCCTCGCTGGGAAGAGCTGCGTGTTTGCGCAGGGCTGGCCTAATGGAGCCCTGGCCTCTGCTGGGAACGGAGTGTGCTGCTGGAATACCAGCAAACAAGGAGGAACGAAGACTCTTGCAAGGCACCAATGCTTTATTCTACACCACAGTTTTTCTGAAGTTGCAAGAAATCCATTAAGTTGCCACGCTGCATTAACTCACACATGTCCCAGGTCCCTTCCACATCCTACCCCATCCACCATATCTTGAGATTTATTAGCCACCAAGCCGAAGAGCAGCCAGCCCCCGTCTGCAAGGACAACAAGCTTAGCATGCCCAGATGGGGTGCAGAGTAACAGCCTGCCGCAGCACTCGCAAATCCTGTATCCGCAGGAAAGGGGGTGCGGCAGAACGCTGCCTGCATTACCTTGGTGACAGAATCATTGACGTTGATGGCTGGCACTTTCAGGCTCCCCTTCGCTTTCATCTTATGCAGCTCATGAACCCCAGTCGTCGTCTCTTCGGAGATGCCTTTAATTCCTGCAGGCGAGACCAGAAGAGCCATGTGCAAACTGAAACGTCCAGCCTGAGACTGACAGAGTCACAGTGGCCCCATCTGGAAGAATTCTGCCAGTGGGGAGGAGGAAGAGACAAGAACCCATCTCGTATGGGACTGTTTAGGTCTTCAATAAAAAAAAATAGCCTGAGAACATCCCAGCTCCCTAGGTGCCCCCAAAATAACTTTGCAGATGCCAGCCAGGGATCCCATGCAACTGCAGAGCATCAGTGACTTCCCTCTCAAACCCATGACTTCCGTCTCAAGCTTCATTCACTGTAAAAGAGTTAACCTGTTTGTTTTTAGAGTATCGTCTATGAAGTCTGCCCTTTTTCTCTCTTCTAATGCTCGTCTGTGGTCTCGTCCCTCACTCTAGCAGTCAGGCTTTTGTTGATTAGAAGGCAAAAAACCCCACACTCGTGAAATACAATCCACCCGCATTGGCACGGCACAAATCAATGCACGGAGGTCCAAGGTCATCTGCACCGAACAGGCCAGCATGCGGGGAACAGGACTAGCACACAGAACAAGATGCTGAGGCTCATGGGAGAGCCAATGGACCTGATGAGGCACCTGGTAGAGAGGCACAAAAGGAAGCTTGAGCAGAGCCCCTCCCCCACCGTACCCATTTATAAACCAGCTGCCCACTCCCCAAGTTCATACCCTCTCCCAGACACTCTACAATGCAGGGGGGAAGGGGTGGATGTCCCAGCAAGCCAGCCGCTCAACTCCAAGGGGTGGCTTGTCCCTCTCCTCCTCCCCGCCATCATCTGATGCTTGTTACACCCACAACTCCTTTTCTGTTCCATTTTGTCTGGGGTCACTGAGTTACCTACAAAAATGCATGTTTTCAAACAATAGCATCTATGGTCACCGTTCCAACCCATGGGGGGTGGTTTACAGGACAGTACTCATAACGGGGGACCTGGTAATGAGCAACCCTCAACTGTCACATCATTGTCCAGCCATTCATAAAACTGTTCTTCAAAGACTCTCTGATGCACAATTTGTCTTGATGTTAACGTCTCACTGTCCCGGTGTCTGGCTGCTCATAACTGGCTGCCAGATGATAGGCCTTCAGCACCCCCCCCCCCACTAGAAGTTGTTCTTACTTTCACAGATATTAGGCGGCACATAGCAAGCAGCAACAATGGGAATATTGCATTCACTGAGGTCTAACTCAGTGTCTCGCAACTTTTTTTTTTAACAAAGTACCCCTTTTTTTAAAAAAACTATAAATACCCCCAGTAGCTACAGTTTTCAGACACACAAACATTTTTTCTACCATTGCAACACATTTGTTTAAACAGCTTAATCGTAGCCGGACAGGAGATGAAATTTTTGGGTATAAAAAGTACAAAAATAATCAAGCGCTGTAAAACTTAAAACAAAAATTCAGTTTTCTTCAAATGTCAGTTGTGTTGATGTATGCCCAGACTCCTCTCGAGTACCCGAGGGTACTTGTACCACTGGTTGAGAAACACTGGTCTAAACCACTCAGTGTGCCAACATCCTTTAAACAGCCAAAGGCACATTCTACCACCATTCTGCATTTGCTCAGTCTCTAGTTGAAGAGCTCCTTACTGCTGTTGAGGTGGACTGTGCACAAAGTGATTAGCCACGAGAGGCAGGGGTAGGCTGAGTCTCTAAGGTTTGGGGAATATTTTAACTTGCCCAGGCACTCACTAACGGATCTAAAGGGGACAATATTATTACAGGGCAATTTCAAAAGCCAGCTGGAGAGAGAAGCTACAGAAACTTGATTTCATTTACATCTTTGACACCTGCAATAGAGGTTTAAAACAAAGACCTTAACTGGATGGCCCACTACATTCCACACGATAAAGACATAAAAAGCCAAGCACCGGGTACTTATTAGAACCCATTCTATCAGCCTCATTTACCATGCACACTAATTGACAATATATTTTTTTTCATTTTCTTTCCCTCCCCATCCCTTCTCCTTCTCTGCCCTCTGGACTCCTTAACACCATTCATCTGAAGAAATGGGCTGTGCTCACAAAAGTTCATACTATCTAAATTTTTTTTTTTTTTTTTAGTCTCTAAGGTGCTGCAAGACTATTTGTTGTTTCAAGTTTATATTGGCATTTCAATGTCACCAATAAAAATGTTCTGGTCTGGGAAGAAAGATCCATCTTGCAGCTTTCTGAAGAGACCAAAACTCCTAAAGTTGTGCATGTCCTGCATCTTTCCTGACCATCCCACATGGAGACTGGTGAAACAGCCCATGTGACCCACCAGTACTTGCAACACCGTGGAAACGTATCCCGTGTAGTTGATGTGCTCTTTGGCAAAGGTGGGGCATTCTGTCTCTCCCCCCACCAGTTAGCGAACTCCATTGCAGCAGAGCCAGCCACTAGGTCTTGCACGTTTCCCAGAGTCACTACCCTTCCTAGCAAGAGGGTACTGATCGCTCTGGCTACTTCGATCACAGCAACCCCCACTGTAGATTTACCCACTTCGAACAGACTCCCAACGGACAGATGGCAATCCATCGCCGAAAGCTTCCACGGGGCTATTGCCACTCGCTTCTCACCGGTCAGGATCAGGTCTCCTTTTGGCACTGCAGCACGTCAGGGTGGGGAAAAGCAATTCAGAGTTTCATGGAAATGGCTCACACATGCAAACATTTTGCAGCCACTGGTCATCATCCCATAGGTGTGTATCTCTGCAGTCCCATCATTCTCTGCTTTTTCCTGAGACCAGAATCTGTGTTCTACTGTGCTAACACACCCCACTGCAATCACCATATGCCAAATGCTCCATTCAATGGGTTCCTGCACATCTGTGTGCATAGCCTCCCCATGTTCCTCCTCGCACCAGCAGCTCCTAGCTAAGCTCCGGACAAACCGCAGGATGAGGCCTGAGGGGCTGCAATGCTTGCCACAGCAGCGTGAAGCTGAGTGGGGTCCATGCTTACGTTGCTATGGCACCTGCACAGACTAACCAAGGAAAAAAGGGTGCGAAAAAATTGTTTGCAGCTGCTTTCAAGGAGGGAAGGAGGATGTAAGTCCATCTTGGGAGATGGATGGCACGTTCCCAGACCAACCTAGGTCAATGATTTTAATCCCATCAGGCATCGGGACCCTAACCCAGAAATCAAATGGGCAGCAGGAACTGTGGGATGGCTACCCACAGTGCATTGCTGTAAGAATCAATGGTAGTGGGGGTGCGCTCCTTTGACCAAATGCGCTTACCATGGACACGCGCCAGTGACTTTATAAAATCAGATGCTAAACGTTCATCTGAATACAGTCAACCTCATTTCATATGTAGATGCATCCTATGTCCACCTGGCTGAAAGTATCCCAGGTGAGCCCCTACGTACCTAGAATAATCCAACAGCCTACTTCAGACTCCACCTGCCTTACAGTGGCTCCAGCCATTTCTTCACACATTATTGCTGCCATGAGCCTAGAGCCTGACTGTCCTGCAGCGGAGTTGGGGCAGAACACAGACAGGCACTATTTACCTAAGTACTTCTACACCATCACCCTAGTAACTGAACACCTCACAGGCATTATGTATTTACCCTCCTAACACCTGCACTGCTCTCCATTTGACAGATCAGGAACTGAGGACCAAGGAGACTAAGTGACTTGACCAAGGTCACGAAGTCTTTGGCAGAACAGGGAACTGAACCCAAGTCTCTGGCATGCCAGACAACCACTCGAACCATCCTTCCTTTTGGCCAGCAGTGGCCAACAATCTGATTCAGGATGTGAGCGGCACAGCTGGCAGGCCCACGTGAGTGAAATGTGCTGCAGGGCAAGAAGGAACAGCTTTATTTTGTTCCTTTTAAGTTTTCCCCATAGGACTAAAGTCTACAGGGCAACTGGCACCTCATTCCCACAAAGACACATTCCCTGCGTGACCTGCAACAGAAAACCAGCCATAGGCCCGAGCAGTCCGTCAGCATGGACTTGCATTGCCGGGTGGCTGCCCTCCATTCAGTGACCTGTGCTCACTAGAACAAAAGCAGGTGGATTTCAGACTGGTGCTCCCTGAAGCTCAGCTATTCCTGGAGCATTCCTCCAGCCACCTGCCCCGAGAAGGTTCAGCCATGCAGCCTTCACAGAAACTGCTGGAGTCGGATGGAATTCTTATGAAAGGCTGAAGGATGGGCCATGTTTTCCTGGCTGGGGGTCACTTTGGGACAGAAATCTGGATTCACTTAACTCCCTGAGATTACATTGCAACACCTTCACAAACTATTAGTCATGCCAAACTAATCTGATAGCTTTCTTTGATAAGATAACGAGCCTTGTGGATAAGGGAGAAGCGGTGGATGTCATATACCTAGACTTTAGTAAGGCATTTGATACGGTCTCGCATGATATTCTTATTGATAAACTAGGCAAATATAACGTAGATAGGGCCACGATAAGGTGGGTGCATAATTGGCTGAATAACCGTAGTCAGAGAGTTGTTGTTAATGGTTCTAAATCCTGCTGGAAAGGGATAACAAGTGGAGTTCCTCAAGGGTCGGTTTTGGGACCCATACTGTTCAATATCTTCATCAATGATGTAGATATTGGGATAGAGAGTACGCTTATTAAGTTTGCAGATGATACCAAACTGGGTGGGGTTGCGACTTCTTTGGAGGATAGGGACATAATTCAGAATGACCTTAGCAAGTTAGAGAAATGGTCGGAGGTAAACAGGATGAGGTTTAATAGAGAGAAATGCAAAGTGCTCCACTTAGGAAGGAACAATCAGTTCCATACATACAAGATGGGAAGCGACTGTCTAGGAAGGAGCATGGCAGAAAGGGATCTAGGGGTCATAGTGGACCACAAGTTGAATATGAGTCAACAGTGTGATGCTGTTGCAAAAAAAGCAAATATGATTCTAGGTTGTATTAACAGGTGTGTTGTAAGCAAAACTCGTGAAGTCATTCTGCCGCTCTACTCTGCACTAGTTAGGCCTCAGCTGGAGTACTGTGTCCAGTTCTGGGCGCCAC